CGGCCCACCAAAATATTATTAAATCAAAATTGAAAAAAAAAATTTTAAATTTCAAAAATTAACACTCACATTAAAAAAAATACATGGTTATACTTTACATTTTTTCTCATTTATAACAACCAAAACATAAAAAATAATTAAATATATCACTGTACTTTTATTAAGATGTACCTATAATAAAATATAATGTTGGCCCACCAAAGATTATTGTTATTTTGTGTAAACTTTTGTAAAAAAATGTTGGTCACCATTATACTAAAGCATTGTCCAGAACTCCGTAAAACCTAGCGCTGCCACTGTATATTGGAACTAAATTTTCGAATTTTTTAGGATTTTTTAGTTTATGACACTCAGCTGCATTCTTTGTTCTCCCAAGACCATCACACCGCAGGAAAAAATATCCCTGTCTGTATTATAATACAGGGTCTGGGTCTAAACGATAAAAAAAAAAAACTGTCATAATATATGTTCTGATAAAATAAACGAAAACGCCTTCTAACCGCCCTTAAAAAATGACCCAAAAGCGCTAAAAAAAACTGCGAAATAAACGTTTCGCTTTTGCTGTTGACATTTGCTTGAGCTGGATGGTGCACGAAACCTGTTAATAAAGATTAGGTAGAAGAGTGGGTCTTCGAGACGTTATTGAAATCATAAATGAAACGATTGCTGTCTGCAATCCGTATCGTTGAAGACGATTATTTGATAAAGATGATGCACGCCGGACTAATGTCAGGACTGTTGTAACTGACACAGTTTTAGCCACACGTGACGCTTGAAACCCGTTTCCAATGCAGGGCGAACTCCTCTGCCGATCGCACGTACTCGACGTACGACGAGACGGTTTGCTCTTAACAAATGCTGTTGTTTTCGCCGTCTTCCGGCGCCGAGTCCCGTAGTTCCCTAGTTTTCAACTTGGCCGATACGTTATTTGTCGTAAAAACACTCCCGCGATTAACAATATTCTCGCGTATTGTAATTCACTGTAAACGGCTATCCCGGCGGCGGATGGCCGTGACGGCAGCGATCCTCCTGGGGAGCGAGATGGAGGGGGGAAGGGCGGGAGGGGATTTGTGGGGGGAGAGGGGTTGCAGAATAACTCGGGAAATTCCCGACGAATATCCCGAGCGCATTTTTCCTGCGCGCGTTTGCCGTGCGATCGTACGCCGACGACACACCCGGGCGTTAACGAAATAACTGCTACCCTCCTGGCGCGGGCATATAGGTATTGACATGGTGTAATTAACATTGTACGACGGCAACTTCAACAACGAAAATGAGACACTACCGAATGCTAATCAAATAAAAACAATATTCAATTGTACAATAACAATAATAATTTATCAACCGTGCCGTAAAATAAGACGTCACTTGGTCCGGTCGAAATGACATTTAAAATCGAAATAGGCCGACAATATTATAACTTATCACAACAAGACTGTTTTCGGATCTTAGAATAAATCATCGTGTCTAGTGTGCAGCGGTTCCTTAACCTTTTTGTAGAACACGGACCCCCGATGAAAGATTTTTTAGAAATCGCCGGCCCCTTACCAATATTTTTTCGAATCCTTTTTTTTTTTTTTTTACAAAACATATCAATTTATCATAACCAAAATTATCCAAAAAAAAAATTCAGAAACAAAAAAAAAATAACAAATTATTTTAGGTGTTTATGGATAAAGAATCTTTTGTATAAAAACAATTTTCTCTGTTTTAAATATTTACAGGAGAAAATTGCTGTAACATAAAATTCTGGTCACTCCGTATATTATATACGAACAAATAATAATAATGGTAATTCAACGGTATTGTAATAATGCACTCGTTTCACGTATCGACGTATATGTTATGTGTTAAGGCTGCTCGTGTCGGACCCCCGACATAAGCATCGCGGACCCCCGGGGGGCCGCGGACCGCGGGTTAAGAACCGCTACTCTGATGTGTCCGTATCATGATATACATATATTGTACGTATTGTATACGCAATGCATATACACAGTGATTTTTGCAATTGAACACGCCGCGCCGCCTAAAATATATAACGTAAAAATAAAATTTAGAAAACGCACGGCATAATCAAAAAGTCCGCACGTTTTCGTCCGCTTTTAAATCGGGTTTATTAAATAGTTTATCGCGGTACATTATGTAAACGAAAACAATTGTCGGACGTAACGGTATCATAACCCAAAAGCCAACAAGTGTGTGCATATTTGTTGACATTCGACTGCACGAGGTAGGCGTACGTGTTCACGTTTAATTACGATCGCAAGTGTAATCAGAAAATACGGATTCGCGGGTCCGTTTCGCGAACGGGAACACAATCACGAAATTACCGGTCGGATAAACGGATGTCGAGCGACGGCGAACGTGTCGCGTGACGACAGACCGGACCGATCGACGCGGACGCCGTTCGCCGGACGCTCCGTCGCTGTCGCGCGTTGACACGCGCTGCGCACCCGGTATATTGCGGTACGTTCGGTACGTGTAACCGTGCGCGTCACGTAGCGTGTATGGTATTTACCGCGCGGCAGAACTGGGGGGGACACGCGGTTTTCGCCGTTCGCGCGGAAATGCTTTCCCGCGGCGCAGGTACGTTCGGTTTTTGTCCGTCCGTCCGTCCATTCGGGGACTTTTATTTTATACGTTTTTTTTTTTGGTTTTTTTTTTTTTTTTATATATATACATTTATACATGTTATTCTCTCTTGGTCTCTCAGCGGTCCCGCGGCTGCGGCGGCGCAGTGGCAACGGTAACAGGCGATAGAAATTTCAATAGAAGACTCGCGCGCGAAACACCGGCGCACTTAATTTCTTCTGTACTTTTCCGACCTCGCCCCTCCCCCTCCCCCCGTCCACCATCCGTCCGCCCCCTCCTGCGACTGTCGGCCCCCAGAGACTTCGGCTCCGCGTGTTTTCGGCCCGGCGCGGCTACGACGACGACGGCGCAATTACGTGAGACTCATTTTGATTCCCGCCGCGTTCACTCGCGCGGACTAAAAGTTTTCCCGCGCCGCCGCTTCTCCGTCAAAATAAAATAGTCGAATAAACAAAGTTTTAAAAGTTCCCGGGCCCCGAGAAGGTATAAATACCGCGTCCGTGTATTTATAATATTATTATGTTCGCACGGTAATTGCAACACGCATGGTCGGCGTTTCAGGGTACCGGGCATGTGCGACTATAACGACAGTATAATACCTGTTTATTATTATAGGTTAGGCGCTTGTGTCAAAGGGATTGCCGGGGACGTCGCGAGCGGCCCGCGAAACACGTCCGCGTCACTCGGCGGCGCGCGCGAGAGTTCGGGTTCGTCGGCAAATGCCAAACTCCAAAATACCACTTACCCCACGATATATTATGTCGGAATAATGAATTATACACCGTCAAAGGGGATAGCGGACCCGGATTAACGTGTAGACGTGGCAGGCGCGTGCTCGACGCTAAGCACCGGCAAGGGCTATTTTGTTTCTGGTAACGCACAATAGCGTCCGGAAGTGCAGCGTATTAAAACGGATTAAATAATATTATAATAGTTTTGAATTTAAAAATTGAAATCGCACTGTATACTAAACGATATGATTTTTTTCAGCGAATGCGACGGTTACGAAAGGGATGTATCGTTCGGATGACTTTATAACGGGCTATTAACGAATATGTGCCTAGGACTGTGATTGAACTTAATCCGGCCCGCATAGTCGAGCGTTCGAAGAAATCTCGAAAGGCTTCTAATATGTCGGGCCGGTAGTGGAAAAGAGCCACAGTCAATAATTAAGTACTTACCTACCTAAATACAATAATTTTCAATAATAATATTATCTTTATTTCAATAATACTTATAAGTTGAACGAATCGTATGTAAAAATGTAAATAAAATCGTTTACCTACTAGAAAAATAATTTAGGTTATGGGATTTCCAAACGTTGAAATCCTAATTTTAATTTATAACTGGCGGAAAATGAAAAAGTAATTTTTGGCAGAAACTGACGGCACTCATGGGAGAAAATCTTACTTTTTATCACCAGAATGCCCCAGTCGTTTGGCCAATAAGTCTAAGAGCGTGAATTATGAGTAGCGGAATACATACATACATCAGTCGCATGTGTCGTTTTTCGATAGTTTGGCATTTTCACCCCGGATGCCATGTGAGGTGAAAAGGGTAAATACGGAAAATCTGATTATTTTGATTCAAATATTGTCATCAGAAATATAAATGCACGCTAAATTTAAAATTGTTCGGATAATAGAAAGTGGATCGTAACACAATCCGTTTAGTATCTATCTAATTTTGACATAAAGAGGTAACAAACGTTTTAACATCCAAACAAACATACGCATTTATAATATTAGTGGGATACTTGGTTTATCGGTCCCTACAAGAAAGAAAACGAATATCAAATTTTAAGCGAGGAATATTAAAAACCGGTAGGTACTCGTTTAGTGTTAGATTCTGACTGTGTAACGGAATTTTGCTAAGTTTTTCTCGCGAAACGTTTTTTTGGCCAAGTAAAATGCTTTGATTTTTTCATGTAACATCTTAAATGACGTGGAAATTTCGACCGGTGGTGCTTTGTTTGAAAACATTTCTGGATTTCCGAAAAATTCGTCCACGACATTTAAAAAATTGACCGCGAAATTCGGCTTCGCGACAAATAATGCTACTCCGTTCAGAATCTATTTTTATTTTTGTATTTTCATTCCAGTGATTTATCGTTGCTTTTAGTGCGCATAAATTGAACAGCGTCGCCTACGCGAAAAATATTATTTGATTCTGGTATGCGTCGCCGCTGGGTTACCAACACCCAATGCTGTTTTTATTTTACGGCTCAACGTGAAAAACAAAAGGACGTCGCCGTCGCCATAGGAATAACAATCGTGCGTACGCGGTTATCGGTATCGTCCGATTTTTTTACGCACAATATCATTTTTCCGTTTGTCTCCAGTACGACATTGTGTAAGAACCGTGACTATTATTGAGTGGACAATTGTATTCATCGCGATTTCGGTATTATGCTCGACACGACTGTCGACATGCTGGCCGGTGTGACCGGCGGTGTGGCCGCGGTCCTCGTCGGACAGCCGCTGGACACGGTCAAAACGAACATGCAATTGTACCCGAACCTGTATAAAAAAATGTTCGCTTCGTTGTACGAGACCGCCCGTCAAAGGGGCGTCCGCGGCCTGTACGCCGGGATGATACCGGCCCTGGTGGCGAACGCGGCCGAAAACGCGGTCATGTTCGCGTCGTACGGCCAGTGCCAAAGTCTGGTGGCGAACGCGGTCGGGCTCAGCAGCAAGACGCATTTGTGCTGCGTTCACAACGCGTCGGCCGGAAGCATTTCGTCGGTCAGTATGAGAACGCCGGTTCGTTAAACACCTAATATATAAGCGCGAAAGTCCGGGCCTCTAAAATTATAACGGATACGCGATCGAGTGGAAATCGTGGCGACACGATGAAAAAAAAAAAAAAAAAAAAAAAAAAAAATCGCGACTAAACAAGTGACGGGTCAGGTAGTATTGTATACGCGGCGAACAAACGTCCTGCCGTTTTCGTTAACGAAACTCGATTAAAACCTTTTCAGGTGTTCACTTCGGTGGTACTTTGTCCCGCCGAATTGGTGAAAATACGGATGCAGGGCTACGAAGATTTCGCCGACGTCAAACGGCCGACGATAAAACTGGCGGTAAAACAAATATTGAAGTCTGGCGGATACAGAGGCCTGTACCGCGGACTGGAGTTAACGTTCTTGAGGGAGTGCGTAGGTAACGCGTTATTTTTCGGAACGTATGAATACACTCGCGAACAACTGAAACCGACTGACGGACAAAAAGAAAACTGCGACCCGTTAGCGACGATGGCGTCCGGCTCGATAGCCGGCTTAGTCACGTGGCTCGTCTCGTATCCGATAGACGTGATCAAGACGCGCGTCCAAATGACAGAAAAGAAATCCGGAATGCCGTTGATCTGGAACGAAATTCAAAGAGCGGGAACACGCGGGCTGTACTCGGGATTGTTTCCCACGTTATTCAAAACGGTACCGGTCACCGGCGTGTTATTGTCCAGTGTAGAATTTTCCAGACCGATTTTCCAGAATATCCTGGCGGATTCGTCGAGCTTAAACGATTCAATAGCCACTCCGGAAAACCAGATTTTTTCGTTGTGCGATTTCTTATCCGGATGGATGGCGGGTTAGAATAATAATAATCGGCGAGGTGTAGAACGAAAAAACCCGTAATATTGATCGGACGTGTATATTGATATTTACAGGAGTCGTGTCTACGTTTGTTGGCCATCCGATGGATACGGTCAGAGTCATACAACAAGTGACCAACACCGGCATAGTGGAATCTGTTCGCAGCGTTTACAGCGAACAAAAGGTAGACGACAATATTGACCGCGGATACTGTTGAAACGAAATAAATAAATACAAAACAATATTAACTAATATTCCCCGTGTGCTTTTTCCCTCTTCCCCGGCAGTTTGCCGGGTTTTACAGAGGAATGATGTTTCCGCTTTTGTCTACGGGCGTCATAAACTCGGTGTTATTCGGAGCCAACGGTAACGCGATGCGGTTTATCCAGAAGTACCGCGGCATCAACGACGTGGACGTCAGGTATTGTTGCGACGCGAACGAATTGAACAAAACGCAATGGCACTGCGATACGTTTGCAGCCGGATGCGTCGGCGGGTTTTTGTCCACCGCGATAAACATACCGATCGAAGTCGTCAAGACGATGTTACAAGCATCCAGTACGCAACGAAACGCAAATGGTTTTAATATGTCGTCCCTATCGAACATTATTATAACGTTATTTCAGATGTATCGCCAAAGCCCGCTGACACGTCGGAAACCCCGAAAAAAACCGGGCCCCCGAAAACACCGAGCCCGTTTAAATTGATTGTCGAGCAATACAAAGCCGGCGGTATCCGGTCGCTTTATAAAGGAGCGACGTTATTGATTTTGAGGTTCGTATGTTAAAACTATCGAATGCGAATGCGAGTTAATAGATTTGTTTGTCGTATTATTTTTATTTTTCAGAGATGTACCGAGTACGGGCATTTATTTTCTCTCGTACGAGCATTACTGTTGCGTATTGAAAAAATCATGGAACAATCGTAGTGAAATCAAAAACGAACCGATGGCGATGCACATACAACTCATAGCCGGAGGTTTGGCGGGTAATTCTAACACAGATTTTCTATCCCAATCGAAAAACCATATACACCTATATAATGTTCCGTTTAAATCATTATTATTACTTTTTTTTTTTTTGAACCGATTGCGTTATTATTATTCAATGAAATCTTCTTTTTATTTGGGTGCAATTCGTATAGTTTACCCTGTTAATAAAACTGTTGACTGACGGTTCTTGTCTTACTTATTATTTAGGTGTCACTAGTTGGATTTTTGTGTTGCCAATCGACGTGGTCAAAACTAAATTCATCGTGGACAGTCTTAAGGAAAAGCCTCTGTACACAGGCGCGTGGGACTGTACGAAAAAAATGTACGCGCAGGGTGGTGTGAAGATGTTTTTCAGAGGATTCGGATTACTATGCATAAGAGCATTTCCCGTAAACGGCATAGCATTTCTAGTGTACGGAATACTTTTGGACATGTGCAGTGTTAATGATGACGGTAACAAAAGTATCGAGTGAAACCCACCAAATACGACTAAATGAAAAACTCCGAAAATCAAAACTTAGAAAGTCAAAATTTCGAAAATCAAAATTTAAAACTATGTAACTGTAGTAATACAAACATCGGAAATTTAAAATAATAAGGTTTAGTTGGGAACTAAGTCCCTATGTGAAGTAATGGAAGACAAAAAGAATTAAAATAATAGGATATTATTTAGAAGTACCTAGAAAGAATGAAATATAGAGGAGTATGTATAAAAATGTATCTATATAATGTAAAGTAATTTATCTAGCTTTTGGTACTATAAAGAATGATTTATTTTTAAACATAATAAAAGTTCAGAATACTAATTATATTACAATCTTCCTTCTGATGTTTGAAGGGGATTCGGAATCGTGAATCCGAGACAGGTGACGAGATCAATAAATAAAGAAAAATATAATTATTTTACCTGCCCACGGTGTCGGAACGCTCGGGCGTATACCTGTAGATATCCTCACGTGATGCTGGAGTCGTTGGACGGCAGTTAAAATTCAATTAAAATAAACTAATTTAATTAATCAACACTTTGAGCCCGTGCGCACTCAGATAGAAAATGCTAATCTTTAAATTAGGATTACAAAAGGTTGAATTGTAAAATAAATTAATAAATAAATCAAACACGAGTGATTATAGCTGCTAAAAGTCGGAGCTAGCTATGCGAAAGAAGTCGGTGGTTTTTACTGTGTGCAGGGTTCTCGACGGAGTGATCGGCTTGGGATTTTTCGAGCGGTCAAGACGCTCGATCTTCAAAAAGAAGAACCGTTAGATTTTTTATGTTTAAATAAATACAAATTAAAAAAGGGTCATCCATAAAAGAAAAATAGTGTTATATGTTGATTTTAAACGCGTATAGAAATAATTATAAGGGTATCTAGTGCGGGAGAATGATGACGGCACGGCGGTATCTTCAAAGGGCCGGTTAATGTTGGGTGCCTATCGCTTACTTTTGTTTGGCTCATATTGAAATGTTTCTAAAGAAAGTAATAAATCGGATATGGATTCTTTTCGAATGATGTAAGAAAAAACCGTTAAAATTTATGAGCTTATAAAGACGGGCTGAATGGCCTTCGCGTCGATGTTGATATAAAATAACTAATAATCGAATTATAAGAATAAGATTTACAATAGTATGACTGAGACGGCAGTGGCCTCAAAGGCCGCAGCAGACGGCGTGGAGTTCTACTATATTTGACGCATTTTAAATTACTTTGTTTGTAGATAAGCTTGTATGTATCCCTTTCGGATAGCGAACGATCCGTTATGTTTATTAAATTATTTACATTTTGTAAAATACCAAGTTCTCAGCCATATTTGAATCTCTCAGTTACATTTTTGTAATAATATAAACGATAAATAATTATGCATTTATAATCTTATGTTGTGTGAGCATAACATCACATAACTTTTTTGAAGTCAACAATTTATGGATTTTACTAAAGGCAGTGTTTGCTAATACTATATGTTGTTTTGTCTCTCGGACGCTCTTACCATCAAATGTAATTTTGCTCCTTAGGTATACCATTTCCTCTAATTGCTCTAGTTTTTGACTATCTATGTATACATCAGCTTTTATTTTCGGGTCTCTGGCGCAAACTAAGATCATTGTTTTTCCACTGTTCATTTTCATTTCTGATGTTCTGAATATTTCATTAATTTTACCAACTGCACACTGTATGTTACCTTCACTCTCTTCTATTACCACAATTTCATTTGCAAAACGTATCATTGAAACAATTTCTTCGCCTATTTCGATTCCAATATTTGGTCTTGTTAGCTTTACTTTCACTATATTTATAACTTTTTCGATGTAGCAGTTAAAAAGTGGAGGGTGATAACGTACACCCTTGTCTGACTCCTTTTTTTTATTTGAGCGTTAGCAGCGATTCCTTCTTTTTTAATGCAAGCTGTCTGACTTTTGTAAAGACTGTGGATAATTCTTAAGTAATGTTTAACACCTATTTTTTGAAATATGAGCAGCATTTTTTTCCAATTTTTTTAATCGAAGATCTTTTCCAATTCTGTGAAAGCCAAATATGTCACTTTATTCCTATTAATTTGTTTTTCGATTAGCACTCACAGTCCTAAAATTGCTTCTCGTGTACCCTTTTGTCTTCTATAACCATATTCATCATTTTTAAGTACTGTTCCACTTTTCCTTTTATTCTTCGATTTATTATTTTCGTTAAGATTTTTGAGACATGTGTCAGTAGACTCGGTGTTCTAAACTGTTAACAGGAATTTGCTAAGAGAGATATTAAATTATATACAATCATAAAATATAGAAACTAGGTGCTGTATTATCGCTAATTATTATACTTTATGATTTTATTAAGCTTCCAACAGTTATCATTTTATCAGTGGAATTTTTTCAAAGTGTGCGTTAAATGTTTCTTTGGTTTCGAGAAAGAAGGACAGTAAATTTTGTGTAGTTTTCAATTCAAGTGAATTAAATTTTAAAAATTGATCAATGACCTAACTTAAATGTGGCGTCTCCTAAATGGTTCAAGTTATATAGTTTTATAGTTTGTCTTTTGTTCAAATAAACAGTACATAGTTAGGTGACTTCAGATATTTGTATTGTCAGTAAAACATAAACTAGTTAGAATATACACAAAAAAATGCCAAAAATTGACTTATAAGTCCTTCGTTCCTGGGACCAAAGATTTAAAATTGCATGCACAAATTTCAGAAACTGATCAATACTGAGTGGTTAAACAAAATTTATTTTAGGATCTTGAAATATTGCATGTATAGTACACTAAAAGTGTATTAATTTATTAGCAGCGCCTCGCACTCGTCTCATCTGGCAATCCGCTACTGTATAGTATAATAATGAATATGCATAGAACAGTAATAGTTTTTTTTTTTGTCATCATATTATACACAGTGAACAATATTTTTCTGTTAACAAAACATAGGAAGCCCGGCACTATTATACCTATACACCCGTTCGTCATATTAGGTTCGCCGCCACTGAATTTTCGGACGGTATATGAAATAATAGTTATAATACGAGCATATTAATTAACGTAGTAAATAATCCCTCTTTCCCGCGCGGATGGAGTTTTGTGGACAGTTCGGTCCGGTCGATGCGATAACGCGAAAAGGATAAAAAAAAAAAAAAAATCATATTCTCTCCATTGTATACATATAACTATTATTGTTTAATATCTGCAAACGAGCAAAAGAGGTACTTTTGCATTGTTTTTACGGATTTCGATTTTATCGTATACACTATAAATGTATATAATTTGTAAGCCAAACAAGTATAATGTGATATTAATTTTAAATTTAAATATAAGTTTATTTAGTTCAAACATTTGCTCTGGCTAATATCTCGCTATACCGCGTAAAATCATCACACTTATGGTTTTTAATAATAAAATTCGATAATTTTAGGCCGCGGAATATTTTAAAACCCTGCGGTTCGATACATTTCATCCGGCAACGTGTGATTCGTTCTGACATATATTATTTTACGATCGATCGACAACCTGCCTACACGTTCAAATGCGAAATTCGTTACTACAGCACCGTACCTAGTAATTACTGCAAATTTCAAATTTCAAACGTGCGGTGAAGAATACAGTGGTTTTAGACATTATATACAATGATAGTGAATGATTTTTTGACGACTCCTATTCCCTATTTAATTAAGAAGAATCACCAGGAGGGCTATAGTTTGTTGGAAAGTATTTTTTCGGAAAAATAATTCATCGAAAAGTATTTTGTCGGAACTGTTCAATATAATTTCATTGTAAACACTGCATGTTATCGTCGTTGGGTAAAAATTATTTTCCGACAAAATATTTTCCAATATTTTACGCGCTCCCGAATCGTCATAGTTATCATAGGCAAATTATTGAATTTTGAAGATTTCTGGAAGGTTGTACCAAAATTTAAATTTGATTTTACAAAATTGTACAAAGTGCATAATAATGCACGGTTGAAATGTATGTTTTTGAAAATACAGGTACTAGGTACTAGGCACCTAAACCGTATTTGTCCGGAAAGCATAATTCCAGAATTTTTATTCGCGTATCTACACGATTTAGCCGTTTTTAGTTTTTAGATTCCGGTTAAATCCGAAGTCCGACAAAATACCTCTTCCGCCGTTAAACAGTCCGAACAAATATGGTTTTTAGTTACTTTCCGGGATTATCGTTACGGACATATACCCGTATTTTCCGGACTAATATAGCCATCCATTTAGCTCACAAATCCTTTTTTGATATATTTATCGTGTTTTCTTTGCCAGAGGCGCTCTTTTTGTCGGGTCCAAATTTTTGAGTATATACAAATATAGCTGAAACAATATTGTTTGTGTTATATTTTTGTAAAAAAAATGGCGTATACTAAATGAGGGTCGTCATATTTATGTTTACTTCCCTATACATTGTTTCGTAAGCTCTGGTAACGGAAACTAGGGCAATTTACTAATTTTCTCTAGTCTACTGGCTGGAGAAATTTAATGCTAATTCGGTATGCGCTCCACGACTTTCGGTCGTTCTACACTCGGTACGGAATTATTGCGTTATCTGCGATAGATTTTATATAATATTACGTATTTCAGATTATTATTTTGATATAAATGATATAATAATACAATACTTGGTGCAAGAATAGCTAATATCGATTTTTTAAAAAATCCGTTAGAAATAAAAAAGAAAAAGTGTACCTACAATTGTTTATTGTCTACGTGAAAATTGTTTACATTTTTGTAAAAATTGAAAATTACACAAACATTTTCATTTAACAAAATACACAGAACCTTAAAGGGAATTGAAATTTCAAAGCGACAAAATGTGATAGTGGCCCTTCTTTCACCGAGCCACAGAATTCTATTACAATACGTAGTCTATACATGTTAAAATACATTAAAAAAAAAAAAATAGGTCCGGACTTTTTTCAGTTACCTCGCGGCGGTCGTTCGTTTCTTATTAGGAGTGTACCGTGATTGTGTTTGTATATTATTTATTAATTTTAACGTATGTGTTGCGGTCTCGTGAGTTTTATTCTATTGAAGTTGTGCCAAGTGCTAAATGAGATCACGTATCATCAGTTCGTAATAGCATCTTGATCACTATTGCTGGCAACTTTACCGTATAAAGACAGTCCTGAGTTCTTGGCCTTTTTTCACGTCTTGTCGGAAGACGTTCAGGATGGTGGAGCTCTGTATGCTCGTTTTTTTTTAGATTCTGAGTGTAACGAAGAATGTATTGGTTTCACAAAGATGTGAACACTTTTTCTATATCAAAAAGTTTACTGAATGTATATGATGTAGACCCTTTTCAGAAAGAAATTTTCTCGGGATGGTACTTTAAGGAGATAATCATTTTACGATTTTCTCATGAGTTTTCTCATGAAACATGAAAAACCGAGAAAAAAAAGGAGGAAATCGGGGAAATGTACGTAATATATTAGTAAAATATTACGATATTTTTTTCTGTGGGAAACTTTTCTACCAACAGTTTTGCTCCGATTTAAAATTATAGCACTTATTATGAAAGGAAATCTAACTAGAAAAACGTAGGAAAAACGAGAAAATCGGTACAATATTAAAAAAAAAAAAAACATTATTAAAGAAAAATATAAAGCCTATTTAATTATTTTACCATCATATGGCGTATATATATATATATCGTTGAAAATGCATCACTATTCACTGAACTCCGCTCAGAATCGTTTTTTCGTTAGCAACAGTTTGTCATCGGTATACGTTAAATTTCCATCTGCGTCCGACCTTCCCGAGTTTTCAATTATCGGGTTTCGCGGACAAGTCCCGCGTAACCGTAAAAAATACTCGCAGAGGAGATTCCGCTCGCACGAACGGAGTCGTCCGGACAATTATATTATTATGAATAATAATACCCGTGCACGCGGTAACAACACTATAGGTATAATGTACACACCCACACACATATACGTATATACTCGCGTATTGTTATAAACGCTTCTGTAAACTACGCAAACGTCGTGTAAAGTTTGCGTGTCCTCCCCGGACGCGGGCGCGTCAAGGCGATTATCGTGTTGTTATTATTATTATTATTATTGTTTCACGTGCCGATTTTCCAGGTTTTCCACCGCCGGCACGCCGCTAACGATTATTGTTTTCCGCCGGCGCCCACCCCCCGTAATGGCGTATTGTGTATACCTATCGCGAAACCCTTCGTTTCCGGTCGCCGTTATCAACGACGAGCACATTCGCGTGTACGAAATTAATAATAATATTATAATGTAAAACGCACTACCGCCGCCGCCGCCGCCGTATACGTACACGTATACACGGTGGAAAACCGCGTTCCGGCGAGACGAGGGCGGTTTTTCACGAGGGGGACTCATTCAGGAACGGATCCGGGCGGGGGGGAAGGGCTAGGAGCCTATTTCTCCGATTTTTTTTCGCGCACAATTCTGTATAGATCCCGATATTACTATAATCCAATCACAGGCGCGAATGGACGATACGGGGCGATTCGCCCCGTTTTCCCGGTCAGATTTCGCAAACCGGATTCTCCGCGACGTTTACGGAATATCCCGCGGTGATACCGACTTTGGTTTTTCAAACGTATGCCGAAAATTCCGGGTTAGTCAGCCGGGCAATATTGGAGCACCATTTGTGTGACGGCGTTTAATTAGCGCGTAGTGTTTTTATCGCGCTTAGTGAATCACCCCGTATATAATACAACATTGTATTGTAATTGTATTTTTTCCTGTAATAAAATTGTA